GCCAACCGAATCCGGAATGGAATGGTGACACTTGACAGTCTGGAATGGAGCCTAGTTGAGAATAGAATGGGGAGGAATGCAGCGAGAAGCAAACGGCCATCAGGTCAAGCGTAATCGGTCACCATTTTTCTATGATATTAGCCAAATTAGGTTGTTACACAGATCTACCTATGAAACTCAACCCGTGTACTGATAGGTTATTGATTGGGAAATCGTACGCTGCTGCATGGTCAGCATATGCTACGGAGTTGAGATAAATGAGACGAGCGAAGACGAAAGCTGCGGTTCCCTTCAACTGTAAGTAGTACCACCAAGCACGTCTGACGGCACCACACTCTGAAATATCTCTACGTGCACGCTACGCTCAGCATTGCCAAACACGTACAGGTAACAGGTAATCACTTCCATGCACAACTTAGCTCAGCATAGCTTCAGGTAAACTCGAAACAGATGAACCGCGACGTAGCTTTATAGGCACCTTTTTGCATGGAGCGTCAATGTTGTTAGATCTTTTCATTAGCGGGATTCCCATCCCACCATCAACAAACATCCCCACCTCAAGGCCATTGCATAGCATGGATCCTGGACCAATCGGCCTGATACCCCTATCTCCCCCTCTCCCCCGTATCTTTTCTTAACTTCCCACCACTGTCTCTCCCCTTCGATCACATACTGTCCAACCATACATAATCACCTTTCTCCCATCAATTGTTTTGTTTCTAACCGCATACTCAGCCGCCTTCGGCTGCCAAGCCTCCCACGCCCTTAACACCAGCCCTCCATCATAACCCGCAGTTATTTCGGCACACTTCCGTCGGGTGGCATCCGTATTTTCTCCCGTTCTCCTTTCTCCCACGTAATGTGTATCTCGACCGTGTTCCCCGTCCCAAGATTTCTCCTAGATTTCTCCAAGATTTCTCTTACGAGATCCCGATGGGAAGGCCTTGTACACATACTTCGCTCCCACGGTTGGGACGAATACTTCACACAACATAATCCCCAACTATTCGCTGATCTGCTTTACTCTAATCTCTCAACCTATCTCACATCAATCACCATCACCCAAACCACATCCTGCTCGGTTCGCATATCTTCTCTTGAGAAACTACAAAAGAAATACATAAAACTAAAAAGGATCCATTCAAAAACGAAGGATTTCTCAGTTCTCCTACAGATGCACCGCCAATCTGCGAGCATAAGGCTGAAAATAGAGAAAACCCTGTTGAAACAAGAATTCTCTGCGTTGAATATTTCAAATAAACCACTATACATATCCCGGCTACTCAAAATACGAACTCAGCGTAAGACAGCCGGAATTTCATATCTCAATACTGACAAAAAATCCCATATCATCTCTCCCGGACGCGATAGCTGCAGCACTTAATNTTTTTTGCCAAATCCATGACTATGGATACTGTCATTAACACCCCCTGGCATTCCACCTTACACTAAACACACTCGCTCTCCTGGCTTTTACCCTTAACAAAGTGACCCAACTACTTGCGAAGGTGAAACCATCCTCACATCCTGGATATGATGGCATTTCACTATCACTGCTTCGATACGGTGGAACTGATGTCGCAGCTTTATTATTGAATTTATTTAGCCTGTCCTTGAATTTTGGCATCCTCCCATCTCAATGGCCCGTCATGGGATATCCTTCTTGGTTGCTGATGACATAAAATTGTTGTACACGTTTGACCCTATCAACCTGATTACAACCGGAGAGAATACAAGCGCTGATCAACGTTCCCCTAGTTCATGGTTCAATGACTGGTTAATGGAATTTTCGACAAACAAAAGTTGCATACTTACAACCAAATCTATTCTACCCCGGTGCACTTAGTATCAGTGGTAACACTACTCCCGACAAACCATTGGTAAGAGATTTGGGTATGCATTACTCCAGCTCCTTCAACTTTTTGGAGCATGCCGAGGTCCAAATAGCAAAGTGTCGCAGGACCATAGGACTGATCCAGAAATCTTTTAGATATCTTGACAGTAAACTCAGTGTTTACTTGACCTTTGTCAGACCGCATTTAGAATACGGTGTATTAATTAGCACTTATATGCGCCAGTGCGACAGAGTAGCGACTGAGAAAGTTCAACGCTACTTTACAAAACAATTATTTGACTTTTCCAATGGCCTGAATTACAAAGAACGATGTATAGCACTGAAGCTTGAACCGCTATGGCTACGACAAATAAAAATTAACTTAACCTTCTTTCATTTAAACATAATGCCTAAGAGAAGTACCGGATTTCCAGAATCGAAAGATCGGTATAACTATAAATATTCTTTGCGAGTTGGGTGTAATACGGTCTCTGTACCGTTTTCTCGCAACCGATTGCGATCCAACATTTTTATAATCAAATACTCGCTTCTGTGGAATAAGCTTCCTCCACACCATCCGTGGATTGGTCACGCATTAGCATTCAAGAGGGAATTGAACAACTTCCCAGATATGCCAATGTTGATACAACTGTATGACCCTACATCTCTGAAGATCGGGCATATGAAGTTGGTTTGGGATTCTGACCAGCTACTCCATAGACAGTGTGGTAGTACTACCGTTTGCAATAAACAATATACCTAAAAAATTGAATTCCATTATCAACACCTGGGACTGAGCCCAGACTGCCGCTTTCTTCTGTTTGTTTCAGATGTCCAACCAATGCTGGGGTACACATTGTCGTCATGAATAACGGCTGCGGCCTCTTTACAGTTTGCACAATATGGACCTAGAAATGGTACCAACCAAACGCAAACAATAAAAAATTCTATTTTTTTCCTCTGCTGATCGCCTGAGCTACCAGATGAAAACGGCTCTAAGGTAGAAGTACGAAAACGATACTGACCTGTCCTGAGCCACTAATGTGTACAACTATTCTGGATTAAAAAGAAGTTCGTCATGAAGAACTAACAGGGCCCCCATACAGTCTTCAGCAATCCCGACCTGAGTAAAAGAACGTAATCAAAGAAACATTAAGATTCGTAATCTTGAGGAGTCGCCTATGATAAACCCGAATCTGTACACTTATCCTACAAGTCAAAGCAAGATGCACATTAGTGCGTTTCTTATGGCGTTTTTCAACTCCTTTATCTCTTTGGCAATGAGACTTGTACGACTTGATAACATTGAGATAATTTTAGTGGTAGTAAAGTAGTTGGTGAATCTATAGCAGTTATAAAGCTTTTTTGAGAATTAACTTATAAGGCTATTTTCTGCGTTTCCGCTAAATTTAAACACTTTAAGTACCATCAGGCCAAGCAAACGTTACCAGTTGGTATCACGCCAGCCAAAGATCGTTGTGCTGCTGCCACATTGTTGGTAAACTGGTTTCTTGGCATCGAAGAGGAGGAAGAGGTTCCACAGAATTATTTTTACAGATTAAGTTATACCCCATACCACCTAAAATCCGTTCCACTTTTATTTTAATTTTATTTCACTAAATGACTTCTGTGCACTTACAACCCATAATCACAGGATATACTGAAGAACGCAAACACATCCCCAACAGAGGGAGATAGGTGGCGACTTCTCCTAGGGTTTGGTAAAGTAAGGCCAACTCTAAATCATACGGGTAACAGGTGCAAATGGTAGCGCTTGCTCACTGATCAGCCCTGTAAACAGGGAGTGAGCTATTTTTTTGGCCTACAAGGGGTTACAGCTACAAATTTTTGTGCTTACCCCTGACTGCGGCAACAATGAGAAACATCAATGATAAACAACCATTCTTACACTGTACGCAATACCATCGGGCCTTTTAGTCCCCCCTGCTAGCCAAAGAGTGTTGCCTAATATACCTCAGCTTACCCAACCGTGGGGCGATCGGGTTCAAAGTTGATTCCTGTCCGAATTTTTTTCATTCATTCCCCCAGTGACAAAATGATTATGGATAGAAGTTCAGCCATTTTGAATGAAAACTGTATAGACGGTCTGTGTACTCTGTTTGATTGTTTTCGATAGTATAACCCAATATGTCCCTCAGATAACTCGTACTCGATGCATCTCTTTAAACCAGATTTCCGTAATGGAGCATTTGGTCTCTAACCCCAATTGCCAAACAACCACGGTATAGCCCTAAAATGATCGGAGTACTTTAAAAAGCAACTAGTCCGGAACGCAGAACTATGTCGACGGTACGCCGCAGCCATTAAACGAAACGAGAAGCTGGGATACATAGAGCGAATAGACGTGTCACATCCATGCTGGGAACGATTACGGTACTTGTCAAACCACCCGGTAATAAAGCCTAGAAAACCAGGAAAGATACACGTGGTATTTGGTTGTGCGGCACGATAAGGCTCCCTTAATGATTGTCTGTTGCAGGGACCGGATTGGACCACTCTCTTGAAGTACTCAACCGATTCCGGCTAAGAGCAGTCGCGGTAGTAGCGACATACAAGAAATATTCCTCCAAGTCAAGATACCAGAGGATCAACGCTACTCCCTGCGACTACTATGGTGGCTTGAAGGCAACGTACAGAGCCCAGCAGTAGAATACCGACTGACCATTCCTCCTCGCCCTTCTGCGCAAGTTACGCACTCCGACGGACAGCTTCACAGTACGGAAACAACTTCCCCTCGTCGGTGTCAGCTAGAGTTGGGAATAACTTTTATATCGACGACTTCCTGAGTGCTTTTGATAACGCAAGAGCGGCTTCACAACACGTAGTGCAACTAAAAAAACTGCTAGAAAGAGGGGGGGTTTCGCCTGACCAAATAGTTGTCTAATTCGCTTTCAGTTTTAGACAACGTTCCCGAAACTGAAAGAGCTAGTGGTGCTGTCAACATGATTACACAGCCACTCCCTACTGAGCCGACCTTGGTGGCACGACGGAGCGCAGAGTCAGACCGACTCTGCCACAGTAATTCTGTGATAATCTGTGCTTGGTATTGGAATTTGAATCGCAATAAATCTACACAGTTAAGCTCCAACCGAACTAGTACGTAGTATGAAATAAAACACCGAAATATTCGAAGTCGAATTATATTATGCGCCGAAATTGTACAAAGGTAATCGATCATGTGAAGAAACAAGAATGCTCAGTTTATACAAAATCACCACAAATACACTACGTGAACAACGTCAGCATCAGGTTCATCACCTTCCTTTCCAATCGACTGACCAAAGTGCACCAATGGCGATTCGTCAAATCTGCGGACAACCCAGCCGACTACTGCTCCCGGGACTTGAAATCATTTAAAAAATTACCCGATGAGCTCCACGATCCGACATTTCTGACGGCCGCGTCAAACGACGGGAGTAAAGTGCTTGCACCTCCTGTACTCGTTGAGTTGGTTAAAACCAAAAGAGTGGCAATGGCGGCGGAAGACGACGCCACCTCCTCCTGTCGAGGAAACTAGACTGCTTCTCCTCGCTTGGTGGATGAGGTTAAAATACATGATGATGATCATGACCGTGTCTCGGCCTGATGAATCGTTGAATTTGGGACCCTTATCGATGGATGACCTAATGCAAGTCGAGAACGACGTCGTGAAATTGGTACAACAACAGCATTTCCCTCTAAAAAAACGGTGTTGAAAGAGTGCACGGAAGAAACCAAAAGGACTGCGATCCAACAGAACGCTCTACGTAAACTGAACCCCATACTGGTCGAACGGTTGCTACGCGTGGGAGGGAGATTAAACAACTCCTCCTTGGCAATCGAGCGGGTGGGCGGCCGTTCGCGGGGACAGGAGAGAACTAGTTTGGGCCCCTGGTAGTGAAGTATGGGCGATCAATCGCGACGCGGTACGGGTGCCTATTTACCTGCATGCAGTCTCGCGCAGTGCATTTGGAGATGGTGCGCAATATGCCTACCGAATCTTTCCTAATGGCGCTTCAAGGCTGATCAGCAGACACGGAGTCCCGATAATCTCTCGTCTTGAATGGAACTCAACTCTGATATGTATACACATTTTCAATTATTCCATTTCCTGCTCCGTGATTATTCTTTCCCATACCTGGTTATCTACAGAACTAAAAGCTGGCAGAAAGGTGCAACCTTCCTCACCTACACTTTTATCGATTATCGACTGAACCAAATGCCTTATAACGATTAAAACGTGATTGTCCTGGTCCGAGCAAAACGAAGAAGACCTCGACTGTATGTGTTCAATCACATGACCCTTCACTCGTTCTGGATAGCGATAACCAAACCTCAGAGCAACGCGTAACCCAAAGTATCGTGAACCAAGTCAATTCAAAAATAATCTACGGCACTATTTTGGCAGTAATCAAAAAATACATAAGGCAGTAATACCTCTGATAGTGAGCCTGATTCACTGTCTAAATGTTATAAATATTCATAGAAAATATCTGCGGTAATAAAAGGCAAATAGGAAAATGAGTGATTTGAATTACCCTCCAGATAATTCTGGACTGACAGGAAAATTCTGCTCACTTCAACGGATCAAGCGTTACAGCCAAAAGGCGTTCGGTATAACCGGAAGCAGCGGTTAGTCCAACAAAGAGCGTCCAATCGAAACTTTGGTCGTAATGAAACAAGAAAAAGCACTGAATGCCGTTTACATATAAGAGTCTCATTTGCATATAAGCACAGAGCACTTGAAGCGCGTGTCCAATAGATATGCTTCATCGTAAAAAGGTGAGATAGAAAGTTTAGAATAGAAAATTCACTGACATGAAAACCACTGTCAGAAAGAGTGCATGGTAGAATGGTGAAGAGAGACAAGGAGATGCAAGGTAATTGAGAGGAATTTCAGTTGTTTCGACTGTTACACCTGCCACCAAAACTCCTCCGAGCGGACAATGTCACCTCAGATACTCTCTTGTTCAGGCTTCTCCTTCTTAGTAACGCTTCCGAAACAATGCAGTTCACAGGACTTGCAGTAGTACACCTGCAATTTTCTTTCCCTTGGGATGTACAGAACTTACAGCAATACGCTTTCACATCCTCTCACTTATCTCCAAGGTGCTAGTCAGCACCTTATAATAGACACAGATGACTTACATCTCTTCATGTCTTGCCGCCACCGTATGCACCCCAGCCGTTTGTACGAGTCCATCTCCGTCTCCCTCGAATGCATCCATGATGCCCATGGGCCAGTTGCCACGTGTTGTGGTTTCAAGTGCTACCAATACGATGTCGCCTGATTTGAAATTGAGATGCTTCGAAAGCCACTTTTGTCGCACTTGCAGGGTTGGTATATACTTCCTCATCCATCGATGCCAGAAGTTATTAGCAAAGTGATTGACTTGTCTCCACCGTCTGGTATAACTCTCCTTCATTGTGAGACCTAGGTTTTGATCATTCTCCGTCAACAGCAGTAAACTGTTCGGAGACAGTGCTTTTCTTTCCTAATCATCCGATAAGCACGGCACTAGCGGTTCGCTATTCAATATCCTTTTGCTTCTACAAAACACGTTGGAAGCGTTTTCTCGTGCATTTGTTTGCGATAGTATAACCCTGTCTGTATTCCGAGGACTGCCGCAAATAGTTCCATCCGCGATATGGATACGAGCTTGATAGGTGCCACTGGAGACTTACCGAATAGCAAAACGCTGTATGTCGGTTTTCTTGCTGGAACATACCACGCGTAGGCGACGGCCCCATAACCTGTCTCGAGATCATCACATAAAACATGCAATTCTGTTCTCTCATCTTCTCTCCAGTCCTCGTTCTTAATTCTTGGGATCTTAATCACATCTAGACACATAACAAAGCGCACCCAGCTTTCCCAAATACTGGTATCTGCAGCACTGAAAGGTTGAACCCAACATAATTTGGAGTTACATAACGTTTGCAACAATTGCTTTGCTGGGAGGCACAGAGGGCCTACCAGATCTCGTGGATCGAACCACGAACTGGCGCTGGATAATATACCTCTTCCTGTTACTGGCTTATCTAGTAACTGGAACTGGAACGTAAAAGCCCCCTTGTTCTGTCCCACTGCACGCTCAAAGCTATCTGGCAACTGTGATCAGATTGAGGAAATTGAACCAGGTTGGTACACGCGCTGTCTTCCGAAGGGGATTCTGCAAGTTCCGGTGAATTAGATGATCACTTCATCAGCTTAAAACCACCTACTCCCGGTAGTTTGGTTATCTCCTCCGCAAAACGAAAGCTTCATCACATGTCGTGAACGACGAGCAACAGTCATCAATGCAGAAATTTTCTTCTATGGCATTTAGTACCGTACACCCTTAGTCACTACCAAAATCTCGTGCATCCCTTTTCAAAGAAAAATTAGCACGAAATGGCGCAGAAGTTGTACCAAAAAGGTGAGCTATCGTTTGGTATTCCTCGAGTACCTCGAGTGGGTCACTGTATTTCACGTAAACGTTTTGAAAAGCCTTCCATAGAGGTGCACCAGGCATTCACTATCGCCGAATCACCGATGAGAACTTCCGCCGCTGGTCTCACCTCCAATGTTTAACGTTCGAGGACGTTTCGGATACCCGAGTGGACATATTGATTGGCTGTGATGAACCTGCGGAGCATGAGGTTTTGAATCAACGGTTAGGAGGCCGTAGAGATCCATACGCTATGCGCACAATTTTCGGTTGGATACTCTGCGGACGCTCGTCAGTGATCGTAATTCAATAGCGTCAATCAACTACATCTCGCTGCCAGGTAATCCCATAGGAGACGATCTGGAACGGTTTTACAATAACGAAGTCGGCGACATAGCAGATGATCGGTTATCTATGCCGAGAGAAGGCCGAGCAGCCCTGACTGTCGTCACCGAAACGGCACGACACAACGGAACCCAGTTTGAAGTGCTGTTACCCTGGCGAACGGGATC